CGATGTTTGTGGTCATATGAAAAACTTAAGTCTATTGTTGGTGTGGCCCAAAAAGAGGAAATCTTTCAAATCCAGAATAGTCTCTTCCATCCCTTTGCCAACTCCTTCCCAATCAACTCAGCCCTGGGAGTTTTGTCAAGACATTCATCGTGGAAACCCTTGGCAGGACCGATTCCACGACTGGAGATTGCTGTTGACCATGAGGCGAGCTCTGCGATGGTTCGGTGAACTGCGTTGCGGACATGGTGGCTTTTCATAAACCTCTCTGGTATGATGCACAATGGGAACCTGTACAGAAGCACATCTTTGATTGAACCCTGCCCTCCAAATACGCTTGCAAAGCTCCAAACGAAGAACTCATCCTCTCTGTAAAATTGGGCCCCATCCCCATGATAGGTGAAGCCGATCAATCGACTCAAGGGTGAGCCATGTTGCAACGAAGGGTGGTCTCTCCACGGCTCGCAAGTCCGAATGTGTTTCCAGAAGCCCACACGGGCTTTGTCGTTTAGGTTTCCCAGCATGATCGATTCGAAAGCAAAAGAACTTGCGTTGGAGAGGGCGTGCAACACTTCGTGAGGTAACAGGACAGGGACTGCAGTTCGATGAGTCTCACCCTGCCCTCGAACCTCAGCTACAGGGTTCCACCTAAAAGACACTAACAAGGCCCAAAAAACTGGAAGCACCCAAAAGATCTCAAAAGAATAACGGTTGTTCATCCAGACAAAGAAACTTCCAGGTCACAATAGATAGTGTATGGCTCCAATTCAAGCCCCCACAGATTTTTCATCCAGCGATGAAGATCTCTCTCTTCGTTCGCCGGGTGGGATCCGCTGCATCCCAGGCTCGCGAAGGCCTGGATAGCCTCGTGCGGCATCCCAAAATCATCAACCTCCGCTGGAGAAGGATTGCCGGGAAGCTGTCACGTGAAAGATAAAGCCAAAATAAGCCAAAGCTGACATAACATACAGAAGCAATTGCAAAAGTATTTGAGATCACTTGAGGCTAAGGTGCAACGTTCCTAGCTATCTCAGCTGCTGCATGGATGCTTACAAAACCTCTTCCAATCATCTCTGTGAACTTGTTCACGGTTTTGGACTCTTTGAGATGTTCCAATCTTTGGCGTTTCCTGCCACCGATCCCACTTTCGACAAACATGTTTCTTCGTTTCTTGACTCATGAACACACCTCTGAGGCACGCCCTTCGTATCCCTTGGTCCTGGTTGCAGTTTGCTGGACGAAGGACTGCTCGCCTGGCCCGGTTGGGCTGAGCCAGGGAAAGGGATTGATTTAGGTTTGATTGTGAATGGCAATTGCTTGATGAACCATTGAGACATAAAGATACAAGAACAAGGCATCAGTTGTGCATGAGAAACTAAATACACTGACAGATTAAATTGCCTGCAGCTGATCAACACAAAGCACTTGATTTCACGTTCGCGTACGTAGTCTGAGCGTCCACTTATGGGGACCCGGGCATGAAGCATTAAGGGCCCACGTTTCAAAAGAGCCAAGTGTTCACCACTTGGAACCCCCCCACACATGAGAGCCCAACCCTCTCACGATCAGAAGAACTATAGCTCACTTCTTTGCTTTAGTCTTGACCTTTTTTCCACCCGAGTTCTTCTTTGGTTTCTTTTGCTTTCCGGGCTTCAAGAATGCTGCCGCTGCAGCCTGGCACAGTGGTAACAAGTACGGAAGCGATTCACCTATTTTGCAGATCAAGCAATGAAGAAGTGCGACAATCTTGTACGGAAGCGATTCACCTATTTTGAAGATCAAGCAATGAAGAAGTGCGACAATATTGTATGGAAGCGATTCACCTATTTTGAAGATCAAGCAATGAAGAAGTGCGACAATCTTTGCGCGTTTTTATATGATATGTTAAGCTTCATTCATACATGTATGATGGAGGTAGGTGTGTTGTTTCCAGGCCCCCCGCCTGCGCTTTGGCCCCGCCGGTCATGATGCCACAAATCCTGTCCAGCAAGCCTTTCAACACCTCTTCGTCCTTCTCGTTGACAGCCTGCGATAGCTTCTTGTAGTACCCCTCCACCTTCGCAGCGTATTCAAGAAGCTCTTGACTCAACGCATCAGCAAACTCCATGTCACAGAGCTTGATGCTTTGGGTTCTGGCGTCAGCCGCATCTTTCAACATGTCCTGTAAGAGCGCTTTTGCTCTGCCTTCGGTTGTCAAAGGCTCCACAGGCTCAGATTGCTGTTCCTTGGGCTTCCGCTTTGGAGCAGGTGCAACCTTTGCCATTGCCTCCATCAATGATTTAGATCCTTGAGAGCTGATTCCCTCCATCTTTGGCAAGGCGCCCACTGGCATGATGCCATCCTCCTTGCTCGTGATGGCTTCCCTCAAAGCTGGATCCACATCTCTTTTCCCTTTGAGGGTCATGGCTTCAGAAGTCTCTTCCTTTCTCACAAACTCGTTGCCTTCTCTGACAAAGTACCAAGCCTCCTGCCAGGTGGAAGGAAAAGGTATTGGGAAGTATAGGGTTGGATGCCAGATGGAAGGAAAGGCATTGGGAGGAAGTATAGGGTTTGAGGTTTGGTGGACTCTCACCAAATCAGACTCTCGAAACGATCGAAGATCAAAACATTTCACATCCCATGCACACAGCTGGCCTCCTCGTCTTCTGGGAAATCTTCATCCCAGTAAAACAAGCCTTGGGACTTGCGGGCATCCTTGACCTTGGTCCACTTCTCTTCTGAATACCGCTTCTTCAGTTCTTTCCCCTGCACAGCCTTCCAGGCCCGCTTTGAGATGTTCTTCTCGGCCTGTCGCCGCTCCACCTCCAGGGCACATTTGCTCCAATTGCACCCAGCATCAACCCACATGTTGAACAGGTCATTCTTTGCCGTGGTGAAGTACTCAGAGAGATTGAAAGGCATCTTTGTGCGAGCTTGGCGACAAAACGTATCCCACTCCCGTTTGTGGGTTACGCTATTCCGCAGAGCCAGAGTCGTGCACTTGGTCTGGTTCGTCACTGGCACCAGGGCGTGCTCCTCACTCGCTTCACCCTTTGCATCTCCTGTTGTCTCATCTTCCTTGCCTGTTGCCTTTGGGTCTGCTTCGCCCTCTTCTGAGCTCTCCTCATCATCATCATCTGCATCCTGGTCGTCGTCGCCAGCTGTAGTGTCACTACTTCCACCTTCATCTTCTTCCTCACTTTCAGCTGACTGGCCATGATCAGATTCATCACCAGATCCAACATCGGAACTGGCCTCGCTGTCAGTCTCATCAGCCTCGCTCTCAAGAAGAAGCTGGGCTTCCAAGTCAGTCGCAGGGCATGAGCTGGAAGAATCATCTTCATCTGAAGCCTCCAAAGTGTCTTGCAACTCTTGGAGCCTCATCTCAGCCTTTTCCTTGGCAGACAAGCCTGACCCAGATCCTGGTGAATCAAAGATGTGCTCAATCTTGCGTTTTTTGCATGGCACATACTTGATCTTCTTCGACTTCGATCTCACCACATCACTCTCCACTTCTGTCTCTTGCTCTTCCACCTTCTTCTCAACCTTGTTTGGCTTCTTCTCATCCTTTTTCTTCTTATCTTTCTTCTTCTTCTCCGCCTTCTCCTTCTCTTTCTTCTCGCTCTTCTCACGCTTCTTCTCCTTCTTCTCTGACGCCTTCTTCTCCTTCTTATCCTTCTTCTCATCTCTCTTCTCAGAACTCTTTGCGTCACTCTTGCCATCAACCTTCTCTGGCTTCTTCACTTCACTCTTCTCTGCCTTCTTCTCAGCACTCTTCTCTGATTTCTTCTCGGGCTTCTCAATCCTCTCTGGCTTCTTCTCATCTCTCTTCTCAGACTTCTCAATCTTCTCTGGCTTCTTCTCATCTCTCTTCTCTGCCTTCTTCTCATCTTTCTGGTTCTTCTTTGTGCATTCCTTCTTCTCGCGCTTGTTCTCCGTTTGCTTTTGGTCTTTGTCCTCCTTGTCACTTTTGGCCATCGCCTCAGAGGCCTTGGCTTCGCGCTTTCTTTTCTTGTCATCGGGAAAAGCCTTCAAACTCTGTGATGAGCTGTTCCTCAAGGCCGATGGCCTTTTGTCACGGGATGCACTTGTAGCGGTTTTTTGCCCTCATCCGCGTGCGAGGTGGTGTGCTAGGATGCTTAGTAGGCATGGCAACGATTTCGGGATGCTTTCAAAACCTGATGTGAGCCACTAAAAGATCACCGAAGCAAGAGCTCATTTGAGAGGGACTTGAGACAATGTTCCATGTCTACCAAAAGCGGTGTTTTTTTTGGTCACCAATTCAGGTTCTATCAAGTTCTACAAAGCGCATGATTTCGCTACAATTCACACGATTCTCGCTGCATTTCACACGATCCATTTTTGATGATTTCCGACGGGAAAAAAGGGCACGACGCATTTCCAGGAGGCCTCCATCGTAGATGCACCTCTTCAAGAAGAGGCGACCCATGCTCCTGGAGCGAAGGGCGGCCGCTGGGGGGAAGTGTCCTCTGGTTTCATGACCAATCATCGCAAATCTCGTTGTAATGCCTAACTGTGATGTCTAACTGTGGGATGACCTCCACCTATGGTTCTTGACCATTTGCAAGGCTCTATTGATCAATGCCTAATTGTGGGATGACCTCCACCTATGGTTGTTGACCATTTGCAAAGCTCTATTCTTCAATGCCTAATTGTGTGATGACCTCCACCTATGGTTGTTGACTATTTGCAAAGCCCTATGTCTAATGACCTCCGGTTGTGTACTTGCACGCGATTGGAAAATGCTCTTGGGCTGGCTTCAAAACACCAAGGGGTCCCAAGGAGAGGTTAGACGCAGAAAGGCAACCCCATTTGTTTTGCAGCAGACCCCATTCATGCTCCAAAGCCGGAAGCCGTGTCTATAGAACACAGCCGCCACTATAAATGCAGCAAATCTGAAAGGTTTGCATGGTCACCGATTTGACAAATAGTCGATGACTGGCTGGAGGTTTGCACCAGCGATCCATGCTCGATTGATACGAGCTCTGATGTCCAACTGGTTTTCAGTCTTCCTGGCCCCCCCGTAGAAAGATCATTGCTTTCCGGAAGTTCCGCTTCAGGTGTTTTGTCCTAACTCTTGCTAGGGCCCTTCCAAAGCCAGGAGGGTAAGACTGACTTGATTTGAGATCAGTCCCACCGTGCACTCGCTTCTCTCCCCGTGAGTTCACGTAGTGCACGACCATCTGCCGGCGTTCCAGGTTGGGCTCTTCCTCATGATCCCGAAGATCATCGATGCATTCATGGCCTGGCCGGAGGACAGTTCTGCTGGACATGGCTTTCCAGGAGTTGACACCAATGATTGTTTCACCAATGTTTTAACCACCCCAAACAAAGGAAACTTGAACCTTTTGATCGCTTGCGATAGAAAGTTTTGTTTTGAATCTTTCCCACCGCACCTGAGTACAAGATTGTGCGCTTTGGTGTGGGGGGCACCATAATGTGACATAGAAATCGACATTCTCCTCATGTTGAGCATTCGGAGAGCCTTCTGGAACAAAGGGTGGTACTCCATGACCGATGTCATAGGCTGCTCGAGGACCCAGAAGCAACATTTTGCTGCCGCCAAAGTCAGCAGGATCAAAGTGCGGGCCGTTAAGATATTCCCATCCACACATGCCTTGGAATCCTTCCGACCAAGAGGATTGGTTTTGCTCCGATGGGTCGATCCCCTTGACCTGAGACAAACACTGCAAGAGAGTGGTTGACGGTGAATTGAAGCACTGACTGGGCCAAGCATTCGGCTTTAGAGCAAAACCACAAAAATACTTTATGCGCAACAAAAATACTTTCTGTAAACCTTGGGCAAGTATCATGAAGACAAATGTGCTGCAAACCGGGGCTGCCAGGGCGGCAGACCCTGGCTTCAGGCAACACACTGCATGGAGTGCGTTGGCAAAGCCCTGCGGTGAGAGCAAGTCCATGGATTGAGGGTCAATCCGCACATCGAAGGGAATCGCTCGGCGGCCTTCCTGAGGAAACTGAAAGACTCCCTCAAGTCCCCTGATAATAGCTGGCATAAACCGAGGAGAACCTTTCAACCTCTCCCTCGTGCACTTCATGGTTCGTGAAATTTGTTCAATCTAACTCTTCAAAACTAAACTCCTTGATCACTTGTATCCAGAACAAGGCTCATCCCATTCAGCCTTTGTCACCTCAAAGTCTCCGGCAAATGCTTCGAAGTGATCCAGGGGCTCGAACTCCAATTGTGGAACGGCAAACATGAGGCTCACCAAGGTGGCAAAAACCTGAAGCGAAGTCAGGAACCAGTAAGCATTCTGGGCCCGTTTTTGGTGGTGGCTATTAGACCCAGTTCAACTTGACAGCGTGGATAAAATTGACGTTCCTTGAGGAGGTTGAGAAAAAAGAAAATAGAATGTTCAATCAACCCATCAAATTCCAGAGTTTGATTGAATTAAGTTTTAAACGACGTTTGGTTTTGCTGCCGCCTCAACACCACACTTGGCTCTCTGCCGATGGATAAATGCAAACGAGGGTCGAGGGGAGCCTTGAGCTGTCGCAGCCCTGCCAGGAGCCATGACCGCTGTTTCGCCTTCCACGCCCTTGGAAGAGGCTGTGATTCCGCTGGGTTGTCGGCCTGCTGGAAGGGCATGTCCTTGCAGATGTTCCTCACCCTGCGGGATGTTGAAACCTTTTTTCACCATCACCACAGCACACGGGAAGCTAGCAAAGCTGAAATC